CAGTGAGTGGGTGCTGAGTTGGGTTTGTTCCGTGGGTTCTTTGCAAATGTGACTTTTCTTGAGCTTTCACAAGGTAAGAGGTGGTTGGAGAGAAATGAAGCAGCTCAGTGGAGCAGGAGGGAAACTTGAGAGGCTCTTTTTTTTTTTTTTCCTTCTCCATCTTATCTTTCTACCCTTAGGCAAAAAAAAAAAAAAGCTTCAGGGAACTACTGGCAGCTCCAACCAGTGCAGAGAACCCAGAAACACACGTGGCACTGCCAGAATCTCATCTCAGCTTGGTGTGCTGCTGCTGGGCCTGGCCAAGTGCTGCTGCTTGCCAAGACACAGGGAAAGGAGGTTGTGAGACACAGCAACATCCCTGGAAAGGGATCTGGTAGGGAGATAGGGATGTGTCCTCGTTCCCCAAGCTCCACTCCAGCTGTTAGCCTGGGGAAGAGGTGCAGAAGGTTTTCTTTCCCCTGGAGTGTGAGATGTTGGGAGAGATACACCCGGTGGCACATGCTCCAGGTAGCAATTACTTGGTGCTGATAATGCCGAGCTGATAACGGAGTATTTCTTTCGTGGTGTTAATTGAGGGAGGAGCCAGGGACAGGCTCAGTGCTGTGCCCACACAGCCAACCCAGAGCCCTGGGGCTGGTCCTGCGAGGCTTGTTCCTGTTTCGCTGCTGATGGCCTAAAGTGAAAGCAGCTTGTGACAGCGACAGCCCAGGCAGCTCCTAGTGTGCCTGTCCTAGAACTCTACACTCTGTACAAACTCCTTTCTGCTTCCTCCTTCGGCCTCTTTGAACATGCCACAAAAGCTCAGATTTATCTTAACTAACCCCTGTGGTGTATTGATCCTCGTGGAGGCTTTGATTGTGTCAAATATCTTCCCTGACACACGTTTGGCAGTTGGACTGGATGACTCAGATTTGAATTATAGGCTCGTGTAGCACTTTTGGTTTAGGTTTTTCCCTTCTCTCCCCTTTTGCTGGAGCTCCTCAGTGTGAAGGAAGTGCTTTGTTGCCACGACACGGACACAGTTCTTCTGGTGGTGAATTCTCCTCTCAGTTAGCCTTTGCATCATGATATTGGTAAAATAATCATCACCTGGGGAAGCTTTTCTGGCTTGGAGAGGAAGGTAAAGCTCTGACTTGGTGGCAGAGGGAGGATTTCTGTGTAGGCAACATCAAGGACTTCTGCCCACAGGTTTGGTCTTACATTCTTCATCCTTGGAGTTACTTCTCCTTGCACATCTTGTCTCACTGCAGGCACAAATGGATTCCCAGGAATCTGCAAAAACCTGGATGTGATATGTTTCCAGTGGCACTGGACTTGCCCTTTGGTGCCAGATGTGGGGGTAGGTCTGAGGGAGGATCTGCAGCTTCTGCTCCAGCTGAGGAGGGGGAAAAAAAGGTCATTTTGGATGTTATATCATCAGGTCTGTGTGGAAAAATGAGGGACAGTTGTGGAATGAGGTGGTTTGATCTCCACACAGCACAGCTGAGAGATCGTGAGTAGTTGAACTCTTACTTGGAGTGACTAGATCTCACTGCTGGGAGGTGGTTCTTCCTCTCAGAGGTGTCACAGGGAATCACCAGCCACACTGGGATGTTCCCTAAGGAAAGATTTTGCCTCTTTGTGAGGCACAAAACACCTGAGAAGGGTTGGTTACAACACACGAGTCTGTGGACTTAGAAATTGGTGTGGGCTTCAAAGTTCTCTCTCTTAACAACAAAGGTGCCTGGGCAGGCTCAGGTGTGAGCTGGTTTACAGAGGTGTAGTATAGGTGGTTGGGTGAGGATAATTCCAGGCTGGAAGGTGTGGCCCAGAGTTGACCTTGGGTACAATTTGCTGCTGTTGAGATGTCAGTGAAATCATAAAACCATTTTGATTACAGAGGCCCTTGGAGGTTGCCACATCCAATCCTTGAGGCAAGGCCAGTGCCTGGGCAGCTCAAGCTGCTCATGGACTTGTGCTGTGCACTGTGGGTATCCCCAAGGATGGAAATTCCACTCTCTGGGCACTATTTTTCCCTTATTTTTTGGTGCTTCGCTGCTGTTGTGCACAACTCGTTCTCTGTGGCATCCAGAGCAAAACTGACAGGTCTGAGAACCTGTTCTGAGGCCAGAAATGTGAAATGCCAGGGAGGTTTTCAGTGTGACTTTGCCTCGGTGGAATCCTCAGCTTGGGAGTTTCCTGGCTGACCACAGGATTGATCATTCACTTCATATTCCACCTGCAAGTGATCCAAGCAGTTGGACCATGGCTGTGGACTCAGGAGCTGAGCCAGCTGTGCCCAGCCAGGTGAATCCTCCTTTCCCAGAGAATCTCCCCTTTTCCAGATGGATCCTCTTTCCCAGAGAATCCCTTGGTGGAATCCTCAGCTTGGGAGTTTCCTGGCTGACCACAGGATTGATCATTCACTTCATATTCCACCTGCAAGTGATCCAAGCAGTTGGACCATGGCTGTGGACTCAGGAGCTGAGCCAGCTGTGCCCAGCCAGGTGAATCCTCCTTTCCCAGAGAATCTCCCCTTTTCCAGATGGATCCTCTTTCCCAGAGAATCCCTTTCCCAGTGCAGTGACTCATTTCCAGGTGGATCCTCTTTCCCAGAGAATCCCTTTCCCAGTGACTCCCCCTCTCCTGGCTGCCCAGGAGCCCTCTGGAATCACAGGTGCCCCTAGCATGGAGCCCTTACTGGTGGAACTGGAGAAGCTCCATTGTGGCTGGCTCAGACTTCCTGAAAAGTGAGGAAATCCTTGGTGCCATCCCTTTTCCTTCCTGTTTCTGGGCCTGGCACCACCTCATGCTGCCTCTGTGTGTCTGTGGTGGTGTCTGACTGAATTCACCAGCTCTGGAAGGTGGAGTAGATCATCTCCAGAGGTGCTTCCAACCCCAGCTATTCCATGATTCTATGATTCTGGGAATGTGCAGATGTTTAGATTTTTCAGGTCTCTTCCTTCATGGAGGTAACTAACCCAAGCTGAATATTTTAGGGGAGGTTTTTTGGTGTTTTATTTTGGAGGGGTTTTTTTGTGTGTGTTTTTAGCAGAGCTGTCGAGCACAGTGTCCCAGAAAGTGCAATAAAACCTTTGTCATCCTGTCACTGCACACATGAGTTCTGTGCTGATATCCTGGTCTATCCTGCAGGAAAGCAGAGGATAAAAATGTACATTTTCAGGGGGGGTTTGCCAAATGTTTCATAACATCAGGACACGATGTCTGGCCGGAGGAAGGAGGAAACCGAGAGCCTTCGGAGCCAAGAGCAGAGGAAATCACTCCTTCCTCTGCTGGTTTTTAATTATTTCTTTTTAAAGCTGTGACTGGTGAAATGAAGTTCAGTGTGTGCAGAGCTGGGGATGAGGATGGAGAATTCCTGAGGGATCTGAGAGGGCTCAGCCTGGAGAAAAGGAGGCTCAGGGGGAACTCGTGTTCCCACAACTCCCTGCCAGGAGGTGCAGCCCAGTGGGGTCAGGCTTTGCTCCCAGGGAACAAGGGACAGGAAAAACAGCCTCAAGCTGCACCAGGAAAGGTTCAGGTTGGACATCAGGAGGAATTTCTCCATGGAAAGGGCTGTCAGGCATTGGAAGGGGCTGTCAGGGAGGTGGTGGATCCACCATCCCTGGAGGTGTCCAAGGAATAACTGGACATGGCACTCAGTGCTCTGCTCTGGTTGATGAGGTGGGGATGGGTCACAGGTTGGAATTGTTGATCCCAGAGGTCTTTTCCAACCTCAGTGTTCCTGGGATTCTGTGGAGAGACAAGCAGGACAGTGGAACTTGGGCCCATGGTGTGTGTCACTTGTTCAGTGTTCTCTGAGAGCCAAGTGTTCCTTTGGGATTAGTCACGAGCTGATCTGTAATTCCTCAAGGGAAAAAACCCCAACCTGGGCCTGTTGTAAACACAGCCACAGATATCTGTTCCTGTAGCACCAGCTGAGTATTCCTGGGAATTATTGCTGTTGGAACACAGAGCAATGATCCTCCTGGATTCTAATCCTTCCTTTGAAACACAAGGAGAAATGGGAACAAAATGTACCTGGGAAAAGCAACATTTTCTGCTTGGTGGCACTAGGGAGTCTCCCAAGTGGATAACTGTGTGTAATTCCAGTGTCTGAAACATTCCCTGGTTGGAAGCAAAATGGGTTTAATGATGCAGATGTTGAGTCCTTGTCAAAGCTGGTTTGGAGCAACAGGTTCTTTGTCACAAGAACTGGTTCAAAATCCTAAATATTGGTTCTTTCTCACAAGAATTGATTATGAAAAACTAATTCTTGCTCCTTGAACCTCTGCCCACCAGCAGGAGAGGGAAGAATCCCCATGTCAGGTAACTCAGGCCCTTCCCTTGGAGCCTGTGCCCACTGACACAAAGGTGCAGCAGAACCTGGTGGGTTTGGGCATGTTTGTGTTGGTTTGATGAGCAATCCCAGACTTGTTCCAGTGCTAATTGTGCTGTAAAACTCAGGTAGAGCTAACTCAGCTTGTGGAACACATGGAACACACAGGATGGAGTGAGATCCTGAGGTCTTGGATCTTCCTTGTTCTCCTGAAGGAAACATCCACTTTATTTTTCCCCAAAGACAATAAAAATACCCCCCAAAAAAAGTATCTTTTGGGCACTGTGTGACTTGATTCCCCTTTTCCCTGAGCTAGGTAACCCCAAGGCCCAGTTTGACCCTAAGGATTTGGGTTTAGGGATGCAGCTCCAGCAGTTGTGCTCCCAGCAGGCTCCATCAGTGAGTGTTATTTCATTCCTGAGGAATGAGGATCCTCCTGGGGAACACTTTGGATCTCTGCAGGCCAAAGACATTAAGGTTTAATGCTGCATGTTGGGGTGAGCACTGTGTGAGTGTCTGTGTGTGTGTCTGCAGCTCCATGTGGGCTGAGAAAAGGGAAGTTTCTTTAAGCAAAGGGAGTGGAGATTCCAAAGGGTTTTTTTTTTCTCCAGGTTTTGCAGGTGGTGACAAATCTGAGGCCTTGGGATTGAGGGAGAGGAGGGGAATTAATCTCTTGTCCCTAATGCAGCTCTGTCTTGGGGCCTCTTGCAGGTTTATTGCCAAGCCATGTGCCATCACCCTTGGCATCCAGGACAGTGGCCCTCACAGAGCCCAACCCAATGCAATTTTAGAGAAAGTGTTTACATCCATCTCGAAGGTGAGTCTTGGTCAGATCCTGCTGGAATTAATAGCCTGGAGGGGCTTTTTGCTTCCCCTTCTCTGCTTTGAGAGGAGCATTTCACACTGGGCATGTACCAAGGCTCATTCTGCTTTCACTCTGCCTCTGGCATGTCCTGCTGGTGGCAAAAATCAATCCCCTTTGTGGCTGAGCCTTGGAAAAATCTCCTTCTGAATGGAAATCTTCCCTTTAGGGACAGGGATGAGCTTCTTCCTCTGTGTCCCTGCTCTGGTCCCAGTTGTGACTCCAGTAACAGGTGGAAGTTCTTGGTTTAACAGGAAATTTCTTAGGATCCTTCCCTTTTATTAGGGAAATGCTCCTGGTTTTCTTGAGCTCATGCTGGTTCTACTGGGTTTATTAGGAATCTCTTCCTGTTGCTATTGCCATTTGCAGCAGCTCCCAGTGGGATTGGGTTAGTCAGTGTCCCTGATAAGGCCAGGACACTTCCTGGTGCCACTAGCTGTTCCTTTGGATTCTGTCCTGGCCTTTCCCTTGAGCTGACAGTGCTCCATCAGTGCAGGATTACAGATTCCACTGAATCTGGATTTGCTTCAATGTGGACAGCGAAATCCACCCAGACAATGGGACAGATTTTCATTCCAGATTCCAAAAGGGAAGGTTGAGGGTTGAGATTTGGTGATGCTGAAGCTGCAGCAGATAAAGGGAAATGATAGAAAACCTCACTGGGAATCTCCTCGTGGGAACATGAAGCTTCCAGGGCGTAACAGGACAATCCTCAGGATCTGATGCTGTTTGTGGAGAGGTGGCTCTGGTGCAGGGCAGGATTGACTCTGCTCTGGACTGGGAGCTCTGAGTTCTCCTGGGAGGGAAGTTCCTCAGTAGCTCCAACCATTACATCCTGGGAGATGTGGTTGGGATGAGCTGACAGGACACTCATGGTCTCAGCAAATCAAATTACAGGTGATTTTTGCCTTTCAGCTGCACAGATTGGTGATTTTACTAATCAGTATCCTGAATAGTTTTTGGGGGGTTGTGTGGAACTCCAGGAGTAAAATGTGGTTTTCATCTCCCAGTGGGAAGAATTCCCTGGCAGAGCTTGTCCAAAGGCCACTGGTGTGAATTGTCTCACCCTGGGCCACTGCAGAGGGAGTTAGCAGGTTTGGTTCACTGTGTCTCTGATAAACTCCTTTGTGTCATGGCTCAAGAAGCTGCCAAAGAGTTGTCAGAGAACAGGAACACAGTGATCATCCTGCAGGGAGAGACATTTCCAAGGGAAATGTTATTTCCAAGCTTTGATAAGGAAGTAACAATTCCTACGATGTCCCTTTGGAATATACAACTATCTCCTGTGTTAAACCAACTCTTGAAAAGTTTTCCCTGACCTTGCTGGGAGTAACAACCCTTAAAGATCTTCAGCTTTGATCCCGTGAGTTCTGGAATGGGAGAACTGCTGGACAAGCTTTAACAGGTAGGACAGGACACTGACAGCTCCTCCCCCCCAAATTAAGGCACAGAACAATTGCATTCTTTGTCTTGAGGTGCTCTCAAGTGATGAAACAGGGGAGGGAATGGCAAACCAAAGCCATTCTGAACTCATTAGTGGCTCGTGGAGGTTGAGCTTGGCTGAACACTGTGGCAGTGGTTTCTGCCTCCAGCCTGGAATCCCTTCCTACTGGTTTTGATTCCCTGTGCATCATTCCTGCCACACTGCAGGGCTGAAAGGAGGAGAACTGACTTTTGTTTCCTTTCCCTTCAGTCTCCAGATGGAAAAAGGTTAGAAGGCTTATCCAAGCAGCTGGACTGGGATGTCCGGAAGATCCAGCGCTGGTTTCGGCACCGCAGGAACCAGGACAAACCCACCACCCTCACCAAGTTCTGTGAGAGCATGTATGTGTGTGGGGCCAGGCTGGGGCTCCCTCTGGCAGCTCTGTGGGTTCTGCTCTCTGCCTGAGCCTGGGGCAGCTGCTCAGCTCAGCTCAGCTCCTCCTACAAGCAGCTCAGGAGGCCTGAGATGCTTTGGGGTGTGCATGAGGGAGAGCAGAAGAGGTGCCCAGAGTCACTGCTGCTTCAGGCAGTGGGTCAGGTCCTTAATGCCACGTGGCACTGGTGTGTGTGTGTGCTCCTGTGGGGGCCTGAGCCCCAAGGGGGTGTGAGGCCAGTGCAGACAAGGTGCTGCCTGCACAATTCCCTCCTTCCCAGCCTCTTTTCCCAGCCAGAACGACCTTCTTGGCTTACATGTTGTATAGACTTTCTTACAGACACTTCTTGCCTTCCTTTTCTTCTCCTTTCAGCTCATGCTTTGTCCTCTGTTCCTCCCTGAGTTCCTGCAGTTGCCTCTGTAGTGGAGTTAACACCTGAATAGTTTTTTCCTGACTTCTCCTCTGCTGATTTCTTCCTTTTCCAGTAACTTTCTCCATATTAATCCTCCCCCCAGTATGGTTTTGTCTACTTAAAGCCACAAGGTAAGAGGGACAAAGACACATTTCAGGATGCCTCTGGGTAACAGTGACTTCTCTTGTGATCTTGTTGTCTGTTAGAGCATATTTCATATTTGCATGTTTCACCCTGAATTTCACCCTTGGCTGTTGATGCCAATTGTGTGTGGTGTGAAAACTCCTGAGTATGTTTATCTCACCTGAGATGTGTAGGAGTGAAGGTGGGTGGAAACCTCCCAGGGCTCAGAATTGGGTTTTCACAAACTTTTTTGTTACAGATATTAACCACAATTTGCTTCTGTTTTCTAAGGGGTTTTTTTTTTTGGTTTTTTTTTTTCTTCTCTTTCCAGGTGGAGATTTACATTTTATTTAAGTATATTTTTTTATGGAATCAGGTTTCTCTGGACGGTGAGTTGGTCCTTCATCCCTCCTTGGTCTGTGCCCAGCTCTCCTGGTTTGTGTGCCTGCACTTGTCTGTCCTGCCAAAGTTCAGGGGCTTTGACTCCCTGTGTCACTTCTCAGTGCTTTCACCTCAGACAAGGGATCAGTGGTGGTGATTGTCTTGTGGTCCAAGATTTGAGGTCCTGAGGTGTCTCTCCTGCACCTCCTTTACACCCTGGGGAAAGTTCAGATCCTTAGAGATCTCTCACTTTGGAAACAGTAGGAAATTATTTGTCCTGTTCCCCCTGAATTGGGCAAAACTAGTTGGTTTTTT